GTTCCAGCTCCACACCAGCAATTATAATAAAACTTTAAACCTTTATCTGTTTTCGGGTTTTTATCAGAGCTCAAACTCAGATCCCTAACAAACATAGGAGCTTCAGATTTCTTTTGTTGTTTAGCTCTGCTGAAGCTCTATCCACCAGGCCCACTAATCAGTGCCCACCCACCCCAGACCCCCAATTTATCAGAAAAAGTTGTATCTGGACATACAATAAATGGTTATAGCTCAAAAACTATTAAACATAGCTTCAGATTTCTTTTGTTTAGCTCTGATAATGGGCTATCCATCAGGTCAACCAAGCCGCCCCCACCCCCCACTCAAACCACTACAATTTTGGGATGGATGCATCTTGTAGCATGACATTTATTAGGAATAAAGACTTCTGAGTTCTGCTGCATTTGTGCATGCAGGGTTATCATGTTACCRCTATGTGGTGTCTAGTTAATTATTTTTTTAAGTTTAAGTAACCCTTTATTAACGATTAATTAAGGCTAAATAAGGTGTAGTTATTGTAAAGTGTTACCAATCTTTCCTTACCAGGCAGGAGTAGGAGTCGTTCAGTCTGTGATCGAGGGTGAGACGCTGCACCAGCTCAAACAGGGAGGCATGGTCAAAGTTGCATGGGTTGGCCGAAATAAATTCATCCATACCATGTTTTTGGGCTCGATCAGCATCTGGACATGTAGAGTATATCATACAATGACAAAGGTGAAGACTGAAACAGATAACATGTTACAGCCCATAAGGAAATAAATGGGAAAGGACAAACTTTAAGAAAAGCCCAAGATAAAACACTGCTGTCAGGTTTGTGAGCCCAATCAAAGAAATGTTTCTACCACATTCTAAATTAGTTTTAACAYACCTTCAGATTATTTTAAGAAGGTACTAAAAATGTACAGTACCTGACTGCTAGTATAACTTTTGTCTCAAATAGAGCTTTATCAGAAAACTGGCTAGATGTGATGTGACCAGTACTGCTTTACTGTGGGCTTTATATTAAAGTTATCAAGTTTTGACACATCAAAGAGAAAATTTAGGCAAACAGGAACATTTTTAGGTAAATGTAGGAAAATATCTGATGATTTGGAGGTTAAAGGTTAGTTCTGATTTAGGAGGATCACGTTTCCTGAGAAAACTGTCCATAGCATTCTGTGGACTAGAATCAGTGTAGTACACACCAAAATACCAAATATAACTGTGACTATTTTTCACCCTTAAATAAGCATACTGACTGATTGCAAGATGATGCTAATTACAGGACACGCTACTTTCAATGAGTTCATATGGTCAAATTATTTTTCCAATTGTTCCAATCCATACTCCATAACCAGTTGGTGGCTGTAATGCAATGATTTGTTGATTGCCACCAAAAAAAAAAAAAAAAAAAAAAAAAATCCAAGAAAATAATTCTGAATATTTTCTATATGTACTATCAATTTTTGTCCAGACCACATTGTTTTCATTTGACCTAAAATAAAAAATTAAAATAAAATAAATAATGGTCTATTTTCATTAGTTGATAGATCACAGGCTGTAAAGATTGGTTAATCAATTTCAACAAATCTTAATCATTCACCTGGTATCCACTAAGAGTCTATGTTAGGGCCAGTGGTTATTCCGTATGTTGCGGGTGTTTYGGAGAAACTGAGACGTTTATTTTCTAAACATGATGTCCCAGTAGCTTTCAAACCCCAAAACACATTACGGCAAAGGCTGGTTCACCCCAAAGATCCGGTGCCCCGGCACAAACAGAGCAATATTGTATATGCTGTTAAGTGCCAGGAGGACTGCGACCAGTTATACATCGGGGAAACAAAACAGCCACTGTTCAAAAGAATGTCCCAACACAGACGAGCTAATTCTAATGGCCAGAACTCTGCAGTTTGCACTCATTTACAGGCCAGCGGTCTCTCTTTCAGAGATGAGGATGTTCTCATTCTTGATAGGGAGGAACGTTGGTTTGAGAGAGGAGTAAAAGAAGCCATTTTTGTAAAGAAAGACCGTCCATCATTAAACAGAGGTGGGGGCCTCCATTTTCAGCTGTCCCCCTCCTACAGCGCTGCCATTGGCAGTATCACTCCACCCCCTGTTAACAATAGGTATTAATTAGGTGTGAACGATAGCCATGTGATGTGAGTATCAGTCACCTGTGAGCGATAGCCATGTGATGTGAGTATCAGTCACCTGTGAACGATAGCCATGTGACGTGAGTATCAGTCACCTTGAGGTAGGACTCAAAAGCCTGAATTTTGCCTGAAACTCTCAGACTGAAGAAGTCTCTTGGAAGAGAGACGAAATGTTTCATTAAAGAAGAACCCGTCCAGAGGACCTATACAATTTTTTTTCCTTTTGATTTTTTACCTGGATTACTGAGATGCATCAGGACGTCTATGTTAGGGCGTTCTTTAGTTATGTTAACGTTTTACCAAATGTTTTTTCAAGTGTTAGATTCAGTTATATGCAGATGATACTGTGTTGTATACATATTCTAAGACAGGTAAAGGTGCTTTATTGGTCATCAGTGTATGTTTTTCACACAATGACGAAATGTGTGTTCTGCATTTGACCCATCCACACCCAAGTGGAGCAGCGGGCAGCCATGTGAGGTGCCCGGGGAGCAGTTAGGGTTGAGTGTCTTGCTCAAGGACACCACGACATGTGGGCATGGCGGGGAGTCGAATCTAAGACTTTCGGGTCCCAAGCCGGCTGCTCTACCACTACACCACAGCCACCCCAGCACAAGAAGTAGCTGATGATTTATTTGCAGTTATGGTACTTATCTCACTGGCTTCAAGATACAAAAGAAACTGTTTGTATATGTTTTCAAGATAGCCAGGGGGCCCAAGACCAATGAGAGAGCACAACTTGATGTTATGGATCAGTTTGAGTTGTGTTCTGCGTGGCTCAAACCTTAGGTCTTCGTAATGTCCTGAAATTTAACATGGAAATTATTTTTGTGGCAGCACGACGGCTCAGTGGTTAGCACTGACGACTCACAGCAACAAGATCCTGGGTTTGATCCCCGGTTCGGACCTGGGGTCTTTCTGTGTGGAGTTTGCRTGTTCTCCTCATGCTTGTGTGGGTTTTCTTTGGTTTCCCCCACCCCTAAAAACATGTACAATAGGTTGCTTTCAGGCCCAGGCCGCCCTTGAAAAAGAGATCTGAGATCTCAATGGGACTTTCCTGGTCAAATAATGGCAAATAAATAAATTTTAGTCACATTAGTGACTAAAATTTAGTTGGACATTCACCAGATGGCTAAAACTTGTTTGCATGTGATTATCTATTCTCATATTTTAAATTTTCTTACAACCTGGGTACAGCATTCATTCCTTAAAGAAATGTGAGGGTTTTATTTATTCATTCATTTTTTTAATATGTGAAATGGATTGAGAGGCAGTTTATTGGCATGTGGAGGCTCTGAAACCTGACCTGCTCTGGAGCTGATCTGCTAACATGCTGCTTCACTGCGTGGCACCACCTGCCTCTGCATGCACTCAGGAACAACTCCCCTTGTTCAGAGGAACTTCAACAATAATTTACAAAACAGGCACAGTACAGACATTCCCATTTCTGTTGATAAACTCATTTAGTTGTGGCATCCATCTTGAACTAGGTTAACTACAAAAGCAAATAATTTGTAGATGTACTTAATTTATTTCCCTCCAAGTTTCAAAAGCACCTGTCCAGTGGTTCATGAGATGTGTTGTTACGGACAGAGCTAATTTAAATAGCYCATGGAATACAGATCCCAAACTATTATTAGACAAAAATACTGCATTTTTGCAGTGCTTTTACACAAAAGCATGATTACCTTTTGTGTTTGACACTATAGAATAAATACTGTAGGAAAACAGGCATTCAAAATTTTAAACTGTGTAATAAAAATACTACAAATCCACTATTAGCATGAAGAAATGTTATTTTAATAAGAGTATGGTTGTATGATGTTGCTGGTCATTTTGAAAACAAAACACAAACTATATTGTGTGAAAGCATTTTTTATTAGTTTCCAACATATCAAACTGTATTGTTTTTTGTTTGTTTGTTTGTTTGTTGGTTTTTGTAATGTAATGTATTTCTGTGTTTGGGGTCCCTATATAAGCTAAAGAAGCTTCTTGGGAGTTCCCCTTTTACATAATCTCACAAAAATGAAATTATACACATACAACTTATTCTGAAGTGTTTCTGTAAATCCTGTGAAATTTGTAAGTAAAATTTGATTGATTSATTGAATGACTGAACTTCGAAATTAACTAGAAAAACTTAATTTCCATCAAAAATGCAGTATGAACACAGAGCTAAATGACTTTACTTAAAGAGGAACTTACCCCAAAATTAATTTSTTTTAGCTGATAAACTRTCTAGAATGTGTCTAAAATGTTATATAGTACTGTTTCTGTGCTAATTTTGATGTTTTTGTGTGTATTTGTTTAAATCTGTAATAGTTGGTCTAAAAATGTCTCTTTGCTGCACACTATGGGTTGAGCAGTGGTACTGCAGACTAATTTGCATACTGGTTAACGGCTCTCCACGGTGACGTGTCTTCTCCACAGTTTCATCACAGCAGCCATATTCTGATATAAAAGCCTCTCTCTAAGACACGCCCCAGCAGCAGTGAGGGCCGGGGTTGGAACAGCTAACATAGCATGATCGTTTGTTACAGCTTCGTATTAGCATGTTAGCGGCTAACATCCACTTGAACGCAGTCACACACACACACACACAGACACACAATGTCTCAGCAACACACTATTTGTATCACTGAATCAACCTTTGAACCAGCAGCTCTATCTGATCTGCGCTGCGCTGCTCTGCTCTCTCACACACCCCAGCCCGCTCTACGTCCTGCAGAAACAGGTAAAAAAGAACGTGTGTGTAGAACACCACATAGAGTGGCAGGAGAGAAAAAAGGCAGACAGCACAGCGGGGCAGTGACTGCATGTCCGCGATCAGCTTATCATTGTAAAATGAAAAACAGCTCAAACCGGACCGAATTTCAGTCAAACAAGACCGGAACTTTTTTATTCCTGATCTAAACTAGTAATCWTGGAGCAGAGTGGCTGCAGCGCAGGGTTTTTTTCTGTCAGGCTGTAGGGCCACTCCAGCTCCGCTGTCCGGGGCTGGTGTGGTCTGGGTCAGACAGAGACCAGCCAAGGCTGCGTTAAAGAGCTTCGTGTCCTGAATGATCCAGGGAGACAACACGAGTCAGTCCCAGACTGAACTGACTTGTTCATTTTAAATGAAAWATGGYATGAATCATTGTGTATGTCATGAAACATTACTTTTTATAAAACAATTTGTTTAGAATGATCAGAAATGTTAGCTCGTCACGTTCTCTCGTCCTGACCACACCTCCTTGCTCACCAGCATCCCCCCCCCACACACACACACACACTCGAATGACTATAGGCCAGTAGCACTTATCCCTGTAGCCATGAAGTGTTTTGAGAGACTGGTCCGGAAACATATTATGTCATTCACACCTCCTCCTCCCCCCCCGGCCTTTGACATACATCAGTTTGCTTACAGACCTAACAGGTCCACTGAGGATGCCATCACTGCTGCCCTGTATGCTGCGCTGTCCCACCTGGAGCATCGGGAGAGCTACGCACATCTTCTCTTCATCAACTTCAACTCTGCTTTTAATACCATCCTGCCCCACAAACTTCTG